GAAGTTTCATGTACTCCATCTTGTGTTAAAACTATTAAATTTTTACGAAAATGAATAGATCTAATCAAGAGAAAGAATGAGGACTTAAAATATAAAGATACACCATTAGGAAAGAACAAAAACCGTTAAAAGCTCAATTAGAAACAAAAATCAAGGATTAACGAAAACTCCAAGAAGATTACAGCAACAACTGTGAAAATTATGATCACATTAAGAAAAAAATTGTTGTTGTAACTAAAGAACATGACGCTTTGAAAATTATGTGTGGAAAAACAGATATTAGTTTCAAAAATTATATTGCATCAAGTCAGACATTCGATTCCTTATTTGAAACTCAATTAAAATTCAAAGATAATCAAAACAAGGGTTTAGGGTATCATTGTGTTCCTCCACCTTTCAATCATAAATACACATCAATCCCTATGACACATGAAGAAATTGACAAGGAGGCACATCTCCAATATGGGAAACCTGTTGCGGTTGTGCCATAAAAGGATTAAGTGAACGTTTCTAATGATTATGTTACATGTGCAGCTAAACTAGCAGAAGATGAGAATGAGAAAACTATTGAACAATCCAATGACTCCTTGAACTCTGAATCTATTGCTTCGAATTCAGTTGCTTCTGATCAACCTGCTGTTGAGAAATACAGGCCTCCAAAACAAGCGAAACCAATAGCTTGTTGTAAGTGTGCATGTAGGAACAACCAGAGACAAGGCAAGGATATGCCACCAGGGGCAGGAAGAAACAACTCCATAGTGAAGAAAAATACATGTTCTCACTGTGGAACACCTAGACACATTGCCTAAAATTTTCCAAATCGTGCATGTGTTCCCTACTACGCACATGGCTGGTAGAAAACACCAAGATGGAGATACCCCAAAAGAAACCCTTCGACGCCACATTCAGACAATAGCGACTAGAATGCCATGAAGGCCAAAAATAAATCCCACAAGGTCAAGAATCCAACTCCTAAGGTCAAGAAGGGAATGTCGGCCTAGAAGCCAACCCAAGAGATGCTCCCGTGAAGCCAAAATCAAAGTCATCTCAACGGCCAACATCAAGATCAAAAGAGAGTACTGAACCACCCATCGGATCAAAAAAGAAATGGGTTAAAGCCAACTACAAATGGGTACCAAAGGCTCAATCTCCCAAATCTTCTAATGATTCTAATATTTCTACATCTTCTGTTTGTGATAAACAGGATATGTCATGGGAGAGAGTAATGGACTGGGTTCCAAAGACCAACTGATCCCACTCTGTGTCAGAGTAGCTATGAAGGCATATCATCAAACTTTGGTTTGTTGATAGTGGTTGTTCCAGGCACATGATAGGAGGCATCTCTCAACTATGCAACACTCAAAACATTGTTTGAGAGTATGTGTCCTCTACAGGAAGGGAAGAAAGAAAGGGATCACACATTGGGGTTTGTGCTTAACAAAGTGAAGAATTTTCGGATCTGTTCTGAGATTGTGCGTGCTGTTCTCAGACCTTCTGGATGCAAATTCAATCGGTAACTTACGGTTTGAGTTTTCTTCTCTATACTCCTGAGTTTATCTTTATCTGATTCATTTTGAAGATTATTTTTTTATTTTCTTATAGTTTTTCTTTAGTATTATTGGGAAGTGATATCAACAAGTGATAACAGGCAATCCGAGTATGTGTAAAGTACCAAAGCTGAATTGTCAAGGCTATGTGTTCGATGCGCTGGTAGGCATGAAGGATTTTAATGGACTTCAATAGGTGCAGATGAACTTAAGAAATCAAATGACTTGACAAATCTTGACCTAGATAGATCCGTTTAGCCTGACAATACGACGCTCAGATAGGTTGCGCAGGGAGATACACATAAGAATCCACCAGTCACATTAAAGAACCCGTATCTAGAACTGTGGTTTTACTTTTCCTCGATGTATGGATTCTGTTCTTAATTCTGGTATTGATGGAGCGACTAGAGAATTCCGATAAAGTAGGTTTGTAGAAAATTATTTTATTTATTTCTTACTGTTAGTCATATGTTTCCTTCTCTGTGTGATTGGAAGAGATCCAACCTGGACTGCAACATATGCAAATCTATTTCTCTTCATATTATATCTATGAAATTCTTCTTATCTGTTAGCCATATGTTGTTTCCTTTGTGTGATTAACAATCCGACCTGGTACACAGCATATGCAACCTTCTACTTCTCAATCCCTCTAAAAACTATAATTAATAATAATGTAAATCTATCCTCTCTATAAATAATAGTTTGCTCACCTAAAGTAAGGAGTAGCTTGGAAGTTCTTGATTATTGGGGTATATCAAGAAGCGGGAAACACGTTCTAGTACATCTAAAATTGAACAATTACAGATTGTCTGTAGATCTCGCTGCTCAATTTAGGTGGACAACAATATCTTTGGTCGTCGTCAGATGAATGGTCTTTAGGAAGTTTTATCTAGGAACATAGCATCAATTTGTCTTGTCACTTATAGCATGTCCACAATTTGTCACAATTTTTCGTTCATTAGTGGACCACAATACCGACGATCGACTAGATTTATTCATGAAAGGGAAGGTACTGACAAACGGATTAAGACTATCTAACAACTTTGATCCCAAATATTTTTGTTTTTGTTAAATTTTTTCATAGTTTTCCTCTATGCAAAAATTTAGGGGGAGAATTAAAAAAACTATTCAAAAAATCAAACAAAAATCAGAAAATTTTAAAAATCATACAAAAAAATTAGAAAAATTCAAAAATCAAACAAAAAATTAAAAATTAAAAATTAAAAAAAAATAGTGTTATTTATGTTTTAGTATTTCAGAAAATATCAAAAATCCAAAAATATTTTTTGTGTGTGCTAATTTTTCTTTTAGTTTTGTTTTGTCTTGAAAAGTGATTTTAGGTGTAGATGAGACTCGTGGAGACTGTATTGAAGATTTTCTGAGCCAAGGCTTCATCCGTGAGCATCGAAGAATTTTCATTCGAATGAGAAAGAAATGAAGAATATTCTTTAATAGGTGAAGCTGAAATTGAAGATTATGTCACGGATTGCATTGAAGACTCCTCAATCAGTCTGCTGCTATCTTAAACCTGCTAAAGTGATCCAGAAGATTCATTCTCTCTGTTCTCTCTGAAGATTCTCAAGCTGAAAGCGCTATCTTTCAAGAATCAATACATAAAGCCTCCTCATCCATTGTGCGTTCAAAGTCAAATCTTGAAGAAAATACCAACTTCTCAAGATGAAGTCATTCATAGACAATTCATATATTCATCCTGATGTTGTGAAGAATTTGAAGATAATAGCTGAAACAAAGCTCCCAATGAAGATTGACAAGAAGTGCCAGCTACTTTTTAGGGGGAGCTTGTTGGGTCATTTAGAAAAGAAAACTATAAACCAAGGGGGAGATTGTGGGGTCTAAAATTGGTTTATACATTGCTTTTCTAAGCCTTTAATGTTTTATCATTTGGGCCAAAAACTAATATTAGGATTAATTGTAGCTTGGACCGAAAACCCATGAGTTTTCGGTCTAGCATTGGATTTTCGGTCCATTGGGTTTTGGCTTTAGGTCCATATATATAGGGTAAGGAGTGCATGTGAGGTAATAGACATAACTAAGGAGCTTAAGTGTGTGCATTCTAAGGTGTGAGAGAAAGTTAGGAGAAGTGTGTGTGTGTGTGTGTGTGTGAATCAATGTGTAAGGAGCTTCATTCCAACATTGAATACATCATAGATCCAATTTATTCTTCTTCTCCTTCTCTTCTATTTGATCTGAAATCATCCAATTGATTGGGACTGCGCACCATCAATTGGATCTGATTAATACACAAGCAGATTTGGGGACTTACATACCATCAAAAAATCAACTTGGAACTTCTTTTGGAGCATCAAGTATTCATCATTTCATCAAAATCAAGCACGCTTCATTTTGGGTTTATGGCCGTGAACCCTTCAAACCTTCATATTTTCACCAAGGACAAACAGTAAACCATTCAAGATCCGTAAACCATTTAAGGGTCAAAATCTGTTCATGCCCGAGAACAATTCATGGCCTCAATCACCTTAAACCGTGAACTTAGCTGAAAATATGCTTTTTCTTATCCAAACAAGTCTCGGTAACATTCCTAAACCAAAAGCAAGTGTTATCCAACACTATAAATAATGGTTTCGCTAATAAAATGCTTATATGTGTTTAATTATTATTAGGATTTCTTTAGTTCCGCAAACAACAACTCGAGGGTGGGTCCTCATTCCAGTTTCACAGTCCGACACCTTCACGCAACCAACAGTGAGTTCATACCCTTATGCTATTAATATTTATAACGTTTTCCGTGGGGGGGGGGGGGGGAATACAAGCCAAACATAAATGATTTTTTGAATGTATACAAAAGAATTTCAATAGGTTTAAAACTTATGCAATTGATACAACCAAAAGATTTCCATATTTTATATAATATTTAGATATTTTGTCCTTATTGTAACATGTTGAGCATAACGGACATTTTCAACTTACATCCATAATTGCATAGTTGTCAGATCAATACATGAGCCAAGTACATAACATACGTGCAAACTATAATAGGTATAGTTTGGGGTTTCAATACACAGTTTTACATAACATAAAAACACTGGTTACGCCCCGCATACAAACAAATTAACCACTTTTTACATTAAATGCTTAATACTCGATTCTTTTACATCTAAAAGTTAGATCTAAGCTTATTAAGACGATCTAGGGCATAAATTTGGCAACTTTATGCCTTTACTTGCTTTATATGTTCCCAACACACCCATTAAGACCTTTATAAGGTTCTTAACCCACACATGAGGTCAAAAACATTCACCAAGACTCCATTTTTTATATTGACAAAAGACCAAGGGACCTCAAATATGTAATTTCCATCCTCTGGAGTTTCTTAACTCATAAGAGGAGGTCCAAAATGAACCAAACGGACAAAACTAGAAAAACCTAGATAAATCAAATATTTTTCCCACGGTTGCTCGCATTCCTGATGCGATGCTTCAAAAAATCGATCCAGCTCCTTCGGTGTTGGTAAACTATTTGAAGACTGTTAACACAGATGTTGAAACTAGTGTGTTGTTACCTCCTACTATTGGTCCTTCGAAGAAGACGAGAGGATCAAAGAAGAGTACTGTTGAGATTCCTTCGAAACGATCACCTACCAAAGCTACAAAGGTTGTTAAACCTAAGAAGCAAGATCACAGTGAGCCACCTTCGATTGTCGCCATGAAACCTGACGAATATCAACAAGAAACTATTGTTTTACCTTCGAAGTCTGGTGTTTTGAAGAAAGTGAAAAAGATGGCTCACAAACCATCTTATTCATCTAAAAAGTCACAAAGCTTTTATCCTACGTACAAAGTAAAAACTCAGATTAATCTCAAAAGGGTTATTTTTCAAGAAGTCCAAGTACCGGTTTCTCCCGGATCAAAGAAAAGATCAGTAGAAGACATGGCAAAACATCTTTTGAAAAAGCAGAAGAAGAAACTTCGAAAGTAGGTAATTCATGATGATTATATAGAAGAGGAGGTTATTCCAGATTCACCTATGCAGAATTCTCCGGTTAGGGCGAATGCCGAGAATACTGTACCTTCTACTAATCCTGTCAAAACATATGATGCTTCAAAGAAAGTTTCTACAGTAGAGAAGATAGTTGTTACCAAACCTCTGGTGTGAAATTTCGAAACTTTTCAAGATCAAGGTACTTTTAATCTTGTTATTTCATCTAACCTCGATACTTCCACAATCGACACCTCTATTTCCTTACCTCCATCTTGTAACGTTAGTCTCTCGAGTGAGGAAAAAGTTGTGAAGCAGGAAAGCAAAGGTTGGAGAAGAAGCATACGCTTAGAGATTTGGACTAGACTCGCTCTTTGTCACCAAAAGAAGGTATAAAGCACCAGCATTTCTTCCTTATATGCAAGATTTAGAGTTATTGAAGTTTTTGACATCTTTAGGTCCCTTGATCATGAAGATTTGTTTTTGAGCTTGGGAGATTAGGATTGCCATCCTTTAGGCTCAAAACACCTTCTTAGCAACAAACTTTCGATCTTTGAGGTTTGCATGAGGCCATGCATGAGATCTAACCATTTCTATAGGGTTAGGATATTGCTTTTTGAAATTTGAACCTCTTTGAGCGACCCAAGCCATCAAGTAAGCACCTTTAAGGCTTAGGACATAGAATAAGACGTGGATGTGAATTTGTAGCTTCTAAATCGATGGATTAAGCACTTAATAGGAAGTTGTCTTAACAGGGATGTATATTGAGCGTACAAGGAGAGACGAACGGTGTACGAGCTAGTAGTCGGTACACTCAGTTTCCCTAGGGGTACGCCCCACATACGCTTCCAGTTTGGCTTTGAGCAATTGGGCCTCTGTCACACCCCCAAACCTGAACGGCGGAAACGTTCAGGGTTGGATGACTTCATGTGGTAGCGTAACAAATGAATACATAGTAAAGAAAGCAATACAACCATCATATATATATATATATATATATATATATATATATATATATATATATAGATAAAATTGAAAGTTTATATTTGTCAAAAGTTACATGTTAAAAACCAATTACAATATGATGTCAAAATACGAGATTAAACTGGCGCCGCAACATCCCTTCATCAAAAGCGTAATGAATACCTGAAATTACTGATTTCCTGAGACATACAAGTAATTTTGAAAGAGTAGATCAGCATTTAAGCTGGTGAGTTTCATAAGTATTTAAGTGACAATGTTTGTATGAAATGAAATGTTTTGTCTTTGTTTGTTTGTGTTTAGAAAATCCTATATTTTGTACTAGTATAAAAGTAGCCTTCACTCAAGACCAAAGGTTTGTTTCTAAAAATGTATGTAAGTTTAAAACAACCAATGTGTTTGAAAACCTTGTAAATCAATGCATTTTTAATGCCACATGTGAGTTTTATAACCATACTATTGACTCGGAATGCCTATACACAACGTTCTTAAGGTGTTGGAATGTTATGACGTTTGTCACCCCAAACGATGGACTGCAGCTAACAGTCAGGGCGCGGGTTGTCAAGCCCGTATAGATCTATACACAAACACCATGCTCCCCCTCCAAGGGATTCTGGTATATAATAAAGGACTTGAAATGTGTACTCGAACGTACATGAAGTTAGTGTCTCACAAAACCGTGGTATAAAAACCGATCTACTTGTTAAAATGTTACGTTTGTTCTTGTATACGAAAGTGACTTCTTGAAATTCATGTTTCTAGTACATAAGAGTTAGAAATTTGTTCGTAAAACTATACCTATTATAGTTTTCTAAAAGTGTGTCTCGTTTGTTTAGAAATACCAAGAAAAGGAATTATTTGTTATGAAAGCATATATTTTCGGTGTAGAATCTAAGAATGATAAGTATAATCTAAGAAAGTTTAGTTTATACATGCATTACAACAAATTTATATTTCAAAAGATAGAATGCTATTTTATTATGTGTTATATATATGAAAGTTCCTTAAAAGTTTGTAAATCGCATGTCATTTGGATATATAAAAGCATATAAAAGAGTTCTTTATGTAACACACAATAATACTCGTGTGTTTTACTTGTAATCCCCCCCTTGAAAGCATATAAAAGAATTTACAGAACTTTAAAAGGTAAATTAAGGGGTATGAACTCACTTGAAAGTTTGGAGATAGCGAGATGGAAAACCGGGCAGAGTTTCGTCTCGGGAAACGGATTTTTCTCGGGATTCTCGGGAATCTCGAGAGTAAAATCGACCCTCGGGACTTGAGCAAAAAGACCAGAGCTTCGGGTTTGAACGGGTACGGAAAATGAGGCAATATCGTGAAAGAAAGGAGAGAAATGAGCATTTTTCTTGGAAGCCCTCGCATGCTATTTATAGGAGGGTCTGAGAGCCTCGTACGTAGGGCGTACGCTCGTACGCAGCGCGTACGCGTACGTCATGCATGACCGAAGCCTCGACTGCCTCGGCTTCGGATGGGACGGATCAGTCTGTCTGGTCGGATGGGACGGCGGGTCGGTAGCCTCGCATAGGGCAACGTGGACGATTCGAGGCCATGTCCCTCGGGTACGCAGGGAGTACAGGAGTACGCAGCGCATACCTTGGATGAGGACGCTGACTCCTCTTCGGATAATGCTTGAATTTTGAATTAAATAAATATATAATGTATTTAATAAACTTCAAAATTTCATATCTTCTTCATACGAACTCCGTTTTCGATGGTCTTTATATTCACGCGTAGGTGAGACTACGCTCTACAACTTTCGTTTAGACTTTGTTGGCAAATTCCGAAATTTTTGTTTTTTATTATTTATTTTATAACTCATCGTTTTTAAGGAATTTCTTTTAAAAAAATCATAACTTCAATATACGAAGTCGGATTTGGGCGTTCTTTTTACGTACGATCATGGTTTAAAGATATTTAAATATAGAAGGAATTTAAATAGAACTATTTGGACATTTTATTATGAAAGTTAATTTTATTAACTCAAAAGTGGTTACAATACTTGACCCTTTTAGGTCATTACAAAGAGTTGAAATATCGGGTTGTGACATCATCCCCCCGTTAGAGAGAATTTCGTCCCGAAATTTAAAGTAGTAAAGATACTAGTGAACATGAAAGAGATGAGGGTACTTTTGTTTCATCTGATCTTCGCATTCCCATGTGAATTCAGGTCCCTGCTTGGCGCTCCAGTGAACCTTCACGATGGGTATGCGACTTTGTTTTGTTTGTTTGACCTCTCGGTCCATGATTTCTACTGGTTCTTCCACAAAGTTGAGGCTCTCGTTGATCTCGATCTCGTCGAGTGGAATAACAAGAGTCTCGTCGGACAGACACTTTTTCAAGTTTGAGACGTGGAAGGATGGATGGATGTTACTAAGTTCGTGCGGGAGGTTAAGCTTGAAAGCCACAGGGCCGATTCTGGCAAGAATCTCGAAAGGCCCTATGTATCTTGGATTTAGTTTCCCACGCTTTCCAAAGCATATTAAACCCTTCCACGGTGAGACCTTTAAAAAGCCGTGGTCTCCTACCTGGAATTCCAAAGGTTTCCTCCTTTGGTCAGCGTAGCTTTTCTGTCGGTCTCTAGAGGCTTTCAATCATTCACGAATCTGAACGATCTTCTCTGTCGTTTCTCGAATGATTTCCGGACCGGTGAGAGTGCTTTCAGGAACTCTTCCTTTAGCTAAATGGGTATCGCCAACTTCAGTCCAGCACAGAGGGGATCTGCACCTTCGACCATAGAGGGCTTCGAACGGAGCAGCCTTTATGCTTGTATGATAACTATTGTTGTATGAAAATTCGACAAAGGGTAAATGGATATCCCATGCCTTTCCAAAGTCAATCACACAGGCTCTCAGCATATCTTGTAAAGTCTGTATCGTCCTCTCACTCTGCCCGTCTGTTTGTGGGTGGTAGGCTGTACTCATGTCTAGCTTAGTCCCCAGGGAACCTTGTAGTGACTGCCAGAATCTTGAAGTGAATCTACTATCTCGGTCGGAGATATTGGATAATGAAACACCATGCAGTCGCACTACTTCCCTTAAGTAAGTTCTTGTAAGCTTTTCCATTTTGTTAGTCTCCTTGATGGGTAGGACATGCGCGGATTTGGTCAACCTGTCGACGATGACCCATATGGTATCGAGTCCACCTGTCGTCTTGGGCAACTTGGTTATGAAGTCCATAGTGATCTGTTCCCATTTCCATTCTGGTATCTCCAGTTGTTTTAGTAATCCTGAAGGTTTCTGATACTCGACCTTAACCTTAGCGCAAGTAAGGCATTGACTTACGAAGGTAGCAATTTCTGCTTTCATGTTAGGCCACCAGTACAAGTTTTTATGATCCAGATACATCTTATCTGGACCCAGGTGAACGGAATACCTCGTGTTGTGTGCTTCAGTCATTACTACGTCTCTGAACCCGCCATGTTTTGGCATCCAGATTCGGTCCATAAGATAATATGCTCCGCCACCCTTGACTTCTAGATTTTTTCCATTCCCCGTAGGGATTCTCCCGCCACGTTTTCAGGTTGCAAAGCTTCCATTTGTGCTTCTTTAATTTGGGTGGATAAGTGGGAATGGATAGTCATAGTCAGAGATCTGACCCTCCGACCAGTGTATTCCTTTCGACTTAGGGCGTTAGCTACCACGTTGGCCTTGCCAGGATGATAACGAATTTCGCATTCGTAGTCATTGAGTAACTCAACCCATCGTCGTTGCCGCATGTTGAGTTCCTTCTGATCAAAAATGTGTTGAAGGCTCTTGTGATCGGTGAAAATAGTGCTCTTTGTTCCGTATAAGCAGTGTCTCCAGATCTTCAGAGCAAATACCACTGCTCCTAACTCAAGATCGTGTGTCGTATAGTTCACTTCGTGTGTCTTAAGTTGTCGGGAGGCATAAGCAATAACTTTCCCTCTCTACATAAGAACATAACCAAGTCCTTGGTTTGACGCATCGCAATACACTACGAAGTCTTCTATCCCTTCGGGGAGGGATAGTATCGGTGCGGTGCACAAGGCATGTTTCAGTGTTTGGAACGCCTTCTCTTGTTTTGCTTCCCAGTCAAAGGCCATGCCTTTCTGGGTTAATGTAGTAAGAGGTTTCGCAATGCTAGAGAAGTTCTTTATAAATCTGCGATAGTAGCCAGCAAGACCTAGAAATTGATGAATTTCTGTACGTGTCTTT